TTTTTTTTTTTTTCAGATTTATGCATAAGTTTCGACATTTATAACACTAATATTAATATCAATAATTACAATAATAATAATAGGAATAATTACAGTTATTGTTATCATTATTTTTAATGTTAGTATTAATCAGATAACAATTTATCGTTGATTATTCTATAAAAGTTTTCAGATTACGCTTAACCTTAAATATGATTAGTGAGAGAGCAGAATTATAGCTATTTAGTTTTGGTTGTATTAATTTTTCTGCAGCAAACTTTTATTTACTAGAAAATTCAGATTGTTTCCAGTAAAAATTGTTGTGAGAAATTTGACAAGATGCATTTTAAATTTTTTAATAAAATATATCAAAATTACGGTATTGCTTTTTTTATCTTTGCACTATTAAATAAATTTCTGCAAGATTAGTCACAGTAATGACAAGTTTTAGTTAAGATTCATTATACAAAACGAATAAAGTAAAACAAGTTTTATTATGCATTTAATTTATTAATAAAAAAAGCGTCAGATATTTTGATCTGGAAACCCTTTCAAAGTATTCTTTTTCGAAAAGTAGCAAAAATTTGTATTTTTACAAGAAAAGAAAAAAATAAAATTGTTTTTTTTTTTACTTTGAAAATTGTAATTGTTGAAATAAAAAATTATTTTTTTTCACTTTTACTGCAGTAGTCATCAATCTCTTTACTGTTTACTATTTTTTATTATTTCATACACCAGAACTTCTCATATGACAAAATTTTACTTCAGTTTAATTATAAACTTGGTCAATTTTCTGTTGAAAAAAAAAAAAATTAGGCAAGTGCAACAGACTGTGATAACTTAATTTTACTCAATTTATTGGATAAGTTACTGTTTGATCTTGTTACACAGAAGAATCTTATAGTTTAAAAAGTATAAATACAATTAAGCGATAAACGTTAAACTTTTGTTCTATAGAAATATTAACTTACCAGACTACTGTGAAGGCGATTATGCTCTGATAACTTCAAAATGATCAACTGCAATTAGTTTTTAAACTTCAGATAGTTTTTCAAAAACTTTTATTCTCTAAATATTTCTGGCATGCATTTTTTTTCCTCTTCATATTCTAATTTCCTCTTTCAATCAGTTTTCTTGATAACTCCGGCACAGAAATTCTTAACCTTTTGCTTTTTATAGTCTCTAGGACAATTACTTTTATAAGATACTAAAAGTCAGATAGCACTGAAAAAATAACATCTACTGAAATGTTTCTTTCATTGTTCTGTCGAACATAATTTGACTGCATTATTTTGTTAAAAAGTTTTTTTCAAAAAAGGTATCAGAAATCCTTGTTTTGTTCACTTAAAACCTTTTTTAATCATTCTTACGTATCTGTAGTACCATTTTTTCCATTTATTTCTAATTATTTTTAATGATTCCTTATAAAGCACCATTTATAATTTGAGGTCCTGTCAAACTTTTCTTATTCCTAACAGAAAATACGATAAGTATGCATGGTGAAAATTTTCCGCAAGAAAAAGTGCTTTGTTTTTGCTTCAA